CATCTCATGGGCTGAATTTCCAAACAGAATTTCAAAAGTAGAACTCATGCTTCCTGGCTGCCGGTGCAGTGTGACTGCTGCCTCAGATTCCTGCTGCCTAGAGACTCCAGTCCTCTCACATTGAGAGCCACAATAAACCCTTAGTGCCCTTAATTGCTTATTAGAAGATTTTTTATTACAGCAATAAGCAAAGTAATTGATAGAGTCACCCAACATGCAAACGCAAACACTTCTACCTCTTCTCTCGCTAATTTTCATAATCTAGTGTTTTGCATCATTTGTTCATTTTTAAACAAATGTTCATGGAATATTTTTGTGCCAGAATAAAAGACAAAGAATCCCTATCCATTCCGAGCTTGTAGTCTGACTGATAGAGATAGAAAATAAATCTTTAATAATACAAAATAGGAAGTATAACCAGAAACTGTCAAATGTCTAGGATAAAATGGTCCAGAATCATAGAGAAAGGGGAATGGAGTTAGGAACTGTTTTCTAGTTGGATGAAGACAGGCAGTGAGAATGTTATACCTGCCAGGAGAACAGACATCCCTGACAAAGGGATTGACAGTTGAGGCTCTGAGGACAAGCTAGATGCACAAGTCTCAAGTTTGGGAGACTTTGGGGCTGGAAATGGAAATGTGACCCGCCTGCATCTGATGTTCAAATCTGAATTGTTTTTATACTACCAGAGGACTCTGTGTAGATTATGAATAGGGGAAGTGTTCGCAACAAGCCTTAGAGTTTAAACCTTTACAAGTTGGTGGTGATGAAGAGCCATCAGCAAAGAAAATGAAAAAAGATTGCCTACAGACAGGAGAAAAATCAAAAAAGGAACCCAAAGAACTCAGTGAGCGAGCATACATCACTGGGAGAAGGACAATGGTGGAACGGGAGCTGGATGTAAGGAGCCACCCAGGTGAGGATAAAACTCATTGGGGCAGGAGGTCAAGAAGGAATAGAAGAAAAGGAAGAGAGACAGCTGTGGAGCTGTTGGTTTGAAGAGTTTGCCGGAATGAGAGCACAGAAATAAAATGTTAGAGAAGGTACAGTGGTCAAACGTCTTCAAGATGGAAAAATAGCGCCCGTGTGCTCATGGGAGTGACTGCAAGAAGTGAAGTCGAAGGTAGCAGAGTGGGGCAAACTCTTGAAACACCTAAGGAAGTGAAGAGGGAGTTGAGAGCACAGGCAGCAGCAGGGACCACACAATGCTGGTACAGCAATGTGGCAGCTAGGAGTAAGGACTCATGTCTCCAGTCCCAGAATTCAGGAGGCTGGGGCAGGAGGATCCCTGTGAGTTCAAGGCCATTCTGGGCTCTATATTGCAACCTTATCTTTAGCAATTTTTTTTTAAATTAAAGACATTGTGGTTGCTTCTATCTCCCAAGAGAAAATGGAAGAAAGGAGAAAGAGAAGACAGGATGTGAGACAGCCTTATAGCGGACGCCTCTGTCTTCCCGCCCATTTGAGGATGGTGGTTACACCATTTTATGGAAGCCACTTGGCATGGCTGCATCTTTTTCTCCGGTCAAGCTCAGCTGTAGGTGTGAGATAAATTTAGCTATGGTTGTGCTTTTACCAAGTAGAGGAAATGAGTTGAGAAATGAGCTGATAACACTGGAGAGAGAGAGGTGGGGGTGGGGCGGCAACATGGGAACATGGGAAGGCAGGAACAACCCACAGGCAGGAGGAGCACTACATTGAAAGCAGAATGAAGGGTGTTTGAAGACGGAATACCAGAGAAAAGAAACTGTGGGGACGGGAGGCAGTGGCAGGTGAACTGGGTAGCTGGAGTTGGGTTTTAAGCCACTCCGGCAATGGTTAGGAAGACCACATAGAGGCCATGGCCTGGGAAGCATGGATGGTGCTTCCACTCGAGACAGTGGATACCTACAAATGCAGTGCAAACCAGAACTGTAATCTCACTTAAACATGGACTATTTTGCAAATATTATTATTTCTTTTGGTAACTCGATTTGGTAACTCCAGTTCTCCCATGTGAACTTTATAGGTGACGGCATCATGTCACAGTACCCAACAGTACCCAAATGTTGGGCAATCCTGGTAGGCAAAACCTTTGATAGAGTCAAGGTCAGAGGACTGGCAGACTAGAATGCTAGTGTGGTGTGAATGTTTACGTCACCGATTGTCGGGAGCCATGTTGTGGAGAGTGGGTGATAGCTCGTAGCTACACTTTCAAGAGGTGAGGGAAAGGAACTTGGGTGACAGGGCACCGTAAGAGGAAAAGTGGTCATGCCAGAGCCTTGTAGCATCTTGTTCAAAGCACGTTTAATTTTCCAAGCAAGGACAAGAATGATCTGGAGTCAGCAATCAGTCGCAAGATGTTTGAGATCTTTGCTCGCCTTCTTTTCAGCTTTTAGCGTACATGCTTTCTGTCGGGTGTTTGGGGAGCCAAGTTTCTTTATCCTTCCTTCCAATGCTTCTCCACTATGGTCCATTCCAGGCACCTAACCTCAGCCCTCACTGTGTATACAGTCACCATGCCCTTCCCTCTCGGGAACCAGACAAATTTAACTGCTTTTCGTTGGGGTCCAGAAAACCATGACCTTTTAGATTCTCTAGGTAATTTTAGTGAGCTGGCAAGTTAACGCATGCTGGGTCAGGGAAGGTTTTCTGCATTTGAAAACATTCCTGACCCAAGAAAATTAGGACCAAACCATTCCTTTTAAAATCTAGCACATCCTTAATGAGTTTTCAGAATTTTCTCCATTAGGGTGTGAGGACAGGCACTAGGGAAAGGGTAAAAATCTTGGAAGTGGAAAGTTGAATTAAGGAAAACTTGCTGTCTTTTTTATTGTCATCCAGGCTTTGAAACCTCCTGTCGTTGAGTCCAGGGCTTGACCCCTGCTCTGTGCATCCACCCTCACCGTGATTCCCCTCCACACTCTGTGGAGATCAGAATGTGCTGGCCTAGCTTCAGTGCTGGCTTTTGCGTAGGAGTGCAGTGCACACCAGATACTCAGCACCTGCATCCTCATGATGTGAAAGCTGCACATCCACCATTTAAGCATCACCTCAAATTGCACAATTTGCTCTCATAAAGTGGAAAAAAGAAGTTTCAGAATGCGCATGCAGCCTCCACTGGCCTTCTGCCGTTCCCAGATGGGTGAAGAATCGGGTCACTGGAGGTGGACGGCCCTGAAGACGAAGCCCCGCGGGTAGAGTGAGATGCTTCTGATGAAGATCCTGGCCTGTCTCTCATAGTCTATCGTGACGGAGAAAGAAGACATTTGAGGAGCGTGGAGTCCTGGTTGTAGCTGTTTCAGAAGGCCATTTGAGGTCGCCCTCACTCACTGGGATATCCAAGAGTCTCTTGAAGACTCTTAAACTGGTCTGGTGGGCTGGCATTGCCCTGTGTCCCCAGCTAATACACACTCACGCCTGCTCTGCATGTTAACTCACTAGTTTCCGAGAATGCAGACGTCAAGGGGGGAGCAGAAAGGGTTCTAGTAGCCAATATGCGGGGAATATGTTGCGCATGGCAACTCAGAGCCACACCTCAAGGTTTCGTGAAATGGGAGTATTTCATGAAAGAAAATTCAAGTTGACAGCAGCCAAGGGGACTACTCAGTTAAACCATTAGCAAGCAGTGGATCTTAGACTCAGATCCGTGAGGATTTTCTCCCAAAGCAAGTCCTTTGCAGATTGTACCCAAAAGTTCAGGACGCAATGTAGATTGCTCTTCCTTCTTCACAACTACCAGCAAATCTGGGGACAGAAGATGCCTCCACGATCTTCCCAGGAATCATAAATGACAAATGGGCAGGGAGCTAGGGTAAATGAGGGCGATGGGGCCTCTGGCAGACAGGGACACATGTCCTACCTAACGGGCACAGTAGCCAATCATCACCTGGCCTCAATGCAGACATAGCAGTCCATGAAAGAGGCTGTGATATCTTCTGATATTAAATGTTAGGTCAACAGTTTTGTTAGATATGGTGGTCTAGCTTTAAAATTCACTTTCAAACTCTATCCTTGCTTTTCCATTATCAAAGCTGGGTGGTGGTGGTGCACGCGTTTAATCCCAGAACTCGGGAGGCAGAGGCAGGTGGATCTTTGTGAATTCGAAGCCAGCCTGGTCTACAAGAGCTAGTTCCAGGACAGGCTCCAAAGCCACAGAGAAACCCTGTTTCAAAAACCCAAAATAAACAAATAAATAAAAATAAAAAATAAAAACACCGTGACAGAAGCAACCTAAGGGGAAAGGGCTTTTCTGTTATCACCGGCTCCTTCAGCTGTCCACCAGTGCCATTGCCGGGCAGACTGATCCTTACTAAACACCAGTCACCTTGGTCATGGGGTTGGTCTAACTGCTTTGGACTTGAATGTGTGTGCAGAGCTGCAGACCACGGCTGCTAAGAATGGAGAACCAAGAGGCAGCCCAGGCGTCTGTAGAGATAGGCATGTCAAGGGCGTGTAATGAGTAACTGTGTGGGTGACTGAGTCAGTGAATTACATGTGGGGGTGTAAGCCTCGTGCTCAGGTGAAGCTGGTGTAGAAGAATTCAAAGAATGCACACAAGAGAGAAAATGGAGGGGGATGAGCAATGTTTGAAGGAGGAAAAGCCACCGATCCTTTTGCCTAGAGCTCCTAATAGGTGCACTGAGGAAGCAGTGACCGTTGTTCACGAAGCCAGAACTGGGCATTTAAACTATTAGAAGCAGTGGGTAAATGCCCAAGGGAGATTAAGCCAAGATTTTTTCCTGGTTTCTGGTTTCACGTGTACACACACACACACACACACACACACACACACACACAGGGTCTCACCAGTCTTTTCTTTCATGACATGTTATTATATGGACACCAGAAAGTAACCTATGTAAACACAGTGACGGTAAATATCATATAACTCCTCCGAATGGCTGGGGCCCATGTTAACATACTTCCATCTAATTTATCTGTTCGCACCCCCAATATCTCCTTCCCAAGTCCTCTGGTTCATGCGAGGGTGTGGATGTATTGACGTCTCTTCTTTGCAGGTGAGTGACATAGAAGACCGTCTCCAAAAGCCACGGTGTGGGTGAATGACAACAGGATCATTTCAACAGCCATTCCGCCCTTCCAAGCCCGTCCTCACCTTCACCTGATCATCGCGGATGTAGTCTAGACTGTCTGTCTGTTTCATTTTTATATCTATTTGTTTTTAAATTCAATGATTACAGGTGTTTACTGGAGGAATTTTTTAACATAGAGAATCACAATTAAAACCACCGTTTAAATTTGACCTCCGCGCAGCACCGTACTTTTTATTGAGAATAACTGTCCTGTCTCTCCTACTCTGTCCCCCTAGGGAGAGATTAACAGACCAATGTGAGTACACCATTCCTTACAGGGGTCCCACTCTCTATATGTCTTCGTGTGCACACAATGTAATGTCAGAATTTAGTAGGAGCCAACGGATTACTAAATGATTCTGGACCAACTTGCTCACTTGAGAAGAGCGGACTATAGATGTCCCGGTTGTCCGAATAACCTGAAAACTATAATTCTCAAGAAGACTTCCCAAAGCATAGACAGAGGACTTCGTGTGGCTCTATGCATCCACAGCTTATGGTCTCTTCCAGGCATTCCTGATTTTGTTTTCTGAGTACGCTAACCTACAAGGGGCCGTTACTGCCATCTGTTGGCAGTGTGCGGAAGTGATGCATCTCCTCCTAGGGGCATGAAAAGGTTCATTCTAGGCAAGTCCTTAAATATGGGACACTCTGTGAGGAAAGAAGGAAGGGAGGCGAGGGGGACAGCAAGGAGAGAAGGAAGAGAAAGAAAACAGCGATTACATGAAGAATTAGAGCCGTCCAAATATCAGCAGCACCAGTGTAACTAAACACTCTTTGCTTCCCATCGTTAATGGGAATGCTGTCCAGTTCATAGAGATGTTATACGGATTTGCCAGGCGGTGGTGGTGCACGCCTTTAACCCCAGAACTTGAGAGGCAGAGGTAGGCAGATCTCTGTGAGCTCGAGGCCAGCCTGGTCTACAAGAGCTAGTTCCAGGACAGCTAGGTTGTTGCACAAAGAAACCCTGTCTCAAAATAAAATAAAATAAAATAAAAAAGAATTAAATAATAATACATACCAATCTGAGTAAATGCTAATCCAGATCTCAGTGATTGAACACAGTGGTGGTCAGTTCCCAGTCAGTTCTCTTCTGAGTTGTGACTAAGGACAAATACCATTCTCTCCAATGACTCTACCAGCTTCTATGTGAACTTTCCAGATTACCTAGGATGCTGACATGCTTACTAGGAGAAGGAAGAGTGTGGATGCTTGCAGAAGAGGCATTTGTGGGCCAGGCCTAGAAGCACATGCTTGACTTCTATAGTACATGGCTCGCTAGATTTCAGTGACGAAGGGGCATCAGCTACTAGAAAGGTTGGAGATGGTGACACAGTGTGACAACCGATGAACAAGTACAATTATCCCATGCCTTGATAGCTTAGGTAAGGAGCCTTTCTATAAGAAGCATCTTTAAGCTGGTTCTTGGAGGAGCTAATGGCTGTGGTGAGTGGGACCGGGGTGTGGGATGCTACACAGGGACCCTCTGAAAACGGCCACAAACAAGAGGGTACGGTGAGGAGAGAATCCTGGCTGAGAAGATGATGCATTAGGTAGGACAGAGAGCAAACTAAGATGATATTTGCCAGGTAGAGGGAAGAAGGAGTTACTGAGAAGCTACCGGTCTTAGAGGATTGTCCTAGGTCCAAAGGATGCCAGCAGAAGGTCAGCGGCCCCATGAAAATCAACTGGCAATGGTAAGAAGAAATCTGAGTATAGAGTATGTCACAGCTCTTCACATGATAAAAGCTTTTATCAAATTTCTGAACTTCAAAAATCTGAGTGTTGCATTAAACAATCCTCCAAAGAAGTGTTTTCAAGATTCCTAACCGTTCCAGGAGTTAGGGGAAGGCTTACACAATCATGGAGAAACAACGGGGCTATGGCAAGGACCCATTGGTTCCATTGACCAGAGAGTCCTCGTGTCTCAGAGAATCAAGAGGTGCCTAAGGCGTGAGTCAGAAGCAGCTCAGAAAGCACCTAGCAGACTTTGCTGTTTGAAGCATGCCAGCCAGTTTCACGTGGGTGAAGTTTGGTTTAAAGGAGACAAACTGAAAACACAAGCTGTTTGTTTAGATTGTACAGTTCTGTGGGAGGTTTAAGGGTGGTTCAGTGGGGGGAGAATTTTCTTCTTGGTGGCTGGTGTAGCGCAGGGCTAGCGCAGCTCGCAAGTACAGGGTCCTGGGAAGTCCCTTTCTGGGAACGCTGAGTCTCTTGGGGAGAACACGGCCCCAGTGTGAACGACGCACAGGAAGCAGTGTTTCCTTGCCCACATCTGGTGATGTCCTTGTTGAGGCGGGCACGCGCCCGAGTCCAGTCCTGTTAATACCCAGGTTCCAGTAAAGGGTCTCTGGAGCCCCAGAATGCTGGAACCCAGAGAGCACCCTCGGACCTCTTCGATGGTCCCCGCATTTAAGAGGCACAATTTTTGTCTTTATTTCTAAGGAAAAGGCCAGTCTTCCCATTAGTTGTTATCTCTTGTGTGCTACCTCTTTATTTACGCAAAAGAAACGGTCCATTGAAAAAAAAACACACATGATCTTGGCAAGTCACGAGTCTGCTTTAGGCTTTTGTTTTCTTCTCTCTCCAATGTAGGGCTCGGTTATATAATCTCTGAAGTCTCTTTCTGACCTGAAACAACAAATTCAAGAATAACTTCCTGTTTCTGGCAAAGCGACATGAATCTTGAGGTTACTTTATCGCATCGGAGTAAATCTCTACCATTATTGAAAAACCTAGCACGCCACGGAGGGAGCAGTCTGACAGCGTTCTTTTTTTTTTTCTTCAAGATTTGTTTATTATGTGTACAATGTTCTGTCTGCAGACCAGACCGAAAGAGGGCACCAGCTCTCGTTATGGATGGTTGTGAGCCACCAGGTGGTTGCTGGGAATTGAACTCGGGAGCTCTGGGAGAGCAGCCAGCGCCCTTATCCGCTGAGCCATCTCTCCAGCATTCTTTAATGGCAGCAGCAAACCTTTAGTTGTTGAGCCCAGAGTTGCTTCCTTTCCATCCCAGACAGGAGAGGACAGGCGCTTCGGTACACCTACCTGCTTCCTAAACACACCGGGCTCCCGTCTTGGCCGTGCTGTGGAGTCTCTACCCATGTGGGCTTCCTGAGAGGACATGAGTTTGTCCGCTAGTCACTCTTAGACTGCTATCTGATTTTTGCTTATGTAGAATAAGTAGAAATATCAAGAGCCTTTCTCTCTCTGAAGGATATTTCTTCTAACGCGGAAACGTATCTTAGGTAGAGCAATTTTAACGTGGTGTCTGGCGCAGAGCGCGCAATGAGCCACTGCAACTGTCTAAGGATAAACTAATTCAAGTTATGTTAAATCCGTAAGTCAGTCTCCCGTCTTGAAAGCGCTCAAGAAGCACCGTGGCTGGCTACTGTCACATCACACCGTTTTGAGCAGAATAACCCCACCACTACAGGGAGCCCACAGGACAGTCTGCCCACATACTAACCAGTCACACTGAAATGGCAAAGCGCCCGGAAGGTAAATCGCCGTTCTTCTTGCCACCTCGCAAAGAGGGCCATTCCACTCTTAGAGAAGTTTGTGTTAGAAAGTTCTTCCCAAGGAATCAAAAATCCTGTCCACCACCCTTACACACATACACACACACACACACACACACACACACACACACACACCATATAAACAGGGCAATTTTAATGATTCTTCTCTCTAGAAGTTCAGACTTTAGCTCAGTGGTAGAGAGCTTATCCAGCATGAGGCTCTGGGTTCCATCCTCAGCACTGAAAAAAAAAGTTTTTAGAGTTGAGTTCCGTAGTCTTACATTTGATCTTCCTTTGTTGTGGTCCCTTGTTTTAGTCTTATCCCCACCTCTTCCTCTTCCCTCTCTGTCTTGATGGAGACCAAACCTACTGAGCTATGCCCCAGCCCCCCGATTTTGTTTTTGCACTATGCACTCCCAAAAAGTGTTCCTATGTCTTCTCCAGCAGAGCAACAATTGCACAGATTGTGTCAGTGTACCAGCACATAAAGTAAGCACCTTTCTCCTCCCCCAGGCCTAAGCACAGAAATCTCTAAGTGGCTTGCTTCAGTCTGACAGTTCAAAAGTATATTGCAAGTAAAAGGGGAACTTAGAAGCCCTGGAGATGAATGAGGTACTGCAAAATGGTGTCTAGAAGAGAGGTTCTCTTCCACGTGGGTGGAGACGTTATACCTTCTGATCAAATCAGCAGATGCCAGAGGGGTCTATGCTGGACAGCAGAAAACCAATAAATTGTTCTCAACCTGCAGTCACCAGCAAAGGAGCCAGGTTTTCCTTTGAAAACTTTGCACCGAGATGATTTCTGCCAACTCTGGGAGTTCTGGGTACCACTGATAAACCAGTGACTGTCTTTGCACACACAAGGACTGATGATAGCTGATTCACTTCACCAGCTTTAGCATGTGATCAAACGTTGTGTGACGTTTTACTCTTTTGTCTTTTTGAGGTACCCACTATTTAGCTCCCAAATAAATCACACACAGAGGCTTGTTTTTAGTAAAGAATGCCCAGCCTTAGCTTGGCTTGTCCTTGTCAACTTTTCTTAAGTTATCCCGACGATCCTTTGCCTCTGGGCTTTCACCCTGCTATTTCTCTATACCTTTCTTTATTTCTTTCTCCGTGACTTGCTGTGTATCTGGGTAGCTGACCCTTTATGTCCTCCTCCCCTTGTCCTCTCATTGCTCCCCTCTTCCTCGTTTCCCCTTCTATTTATTCTCTCTGCCTGTCAGCCCCACCTATCATTTCTCCTGCCTCGCTTTTGGCCATTCAGCTCTTTATTAGACCATCGGGTGTTTTAGACAGGCAAAGACTCACAGCTTCACAGAGTTAAACAAATGCAGCATAAACAAAAGCAACACACCTTAAAATAATATTCCCCGACATTCAAAATCAGCACGACCATCTGTGTAGAGGCACCCCACCACTAACACCCAGTACTAAGTACAATGCTAGATCTACAGTTGACCACACACACACACACACACACACACACACACATATAAACTCAAAAATATATACACATATACAAGCACAAACACGTTCATATATGCACATACAAACACATGTGCACTATACATACATACAAACACATATACACAATATTAATACAAACATATACACAAACACACATACATACATAT